AAATATTAGTATTAAATTGAGTAAAACTCTTTAAAGAGACTCAAGCGTTGGAACATGCTCTAATAGAAGAAAAGAAAAGAGATGAAACAAAATATTCTTTATTTATATTGGTCAAAAGAAATTAAAAGAAGAGGTTTTTTTCTGAAAATGATAAAAAGTAACTAAAATTAAAGAATTTTTCTCTTTAAATAAATGCATATATATGTTTTGTTTTTTAATTTTTTAATATTTTTTATATATTTTCTTCCCATTTAGTCTATTTCTATAACCAATCGCACCTGTGGAGTAAATAATGTTCTTTCCTTTTCCATATGATCGGAAGAAAAGTAGAGTAACTGAGCAGAAACACTACTTTCCTTCATTTTATTACTCTAGCCCACCTTAACTTTGACGACTCATATGTCAATTTTATTAATAAAAGTTGCAAACCAACAAATGTTTTTGTAATAATGTGCATGAAATATCCAAGTAAGTGGATTTGTTATATATAAAAGGGCTATGGTGTTGGGACACGGAGTAGTAATGGTTGGAGCATAAATGAGATGAAAATGTAACACTAAGGTCGCAATCGTTGAAATTGACACTGTCCAGTCTGTCTTCCAATTAAATGTATCTATCCATATCTTCTTATTTTATTAGTGTCCAGGATGCCACTCAAAATACCTTTTTTTTTCCCCATCTGATATAATATATTAAATATAGTAGAATAAGAGTTTGAAATACGCGTTTGAAATACAAAGGTGAAATACGAGGATAAAATACGGGAGATGATCTATACCGAGAACCTCAAAACCAAAAGACGAATCCTAAAATCCAACCTATATCTAAAGAAACAAGTTAAAGCCAAATTTTAATCCAAACAAGACAACTCTATCTCTAACAATACTAAGCGTCATCCTTCCATTGATCCACCAAAACTTGGAACCCATGATTCGATTTCACGACGGCGATAAAGGGGCAAGGGAACTGCAAAAGCACTCGAGACGACAACCGAAGCCCGAGAGCAAATCTGAAACCAATTAAGAATGACAAGAGCCAAGATAAACCAGGGAGAAGACAACATCAACAAGCAAGATTAGAACCCAATCATATCCCAAGTTTCTTCATATTGATACTCAAT